CTGCTGCTGCTGCTGCTGCTGCTGCTGCTGCTGCTGCTGCTGCTGCTAAATAAATCGAAAAACAAACAAGTCGCATTGTATTTTCACAACTACTATTTTTAGTCGAAGCTGCTTCAAGTTGATATGTGCATGGAGAGCAGCGTGCGCTGTGTAGACAAGAAGGTCACAACAACAACAAACCGCGCATATTGAACTCGTCGAACAGGCTTTGAGGTCCACCGTGTAACGCATATTATATATATTACTTATTATTTATTATACATATTGACGTATACGTAGATATGTGTGTAGAATTGTGTGCGATGTGTGTGCAGCACACACAATAAACATTTTGGTGGCTTGCACTTCGTATTTTCGAATTTTGATCGATTCGGTTCGACAAACGACTGCAAGGTAATCATTCGGCGTTGAAACATTAATTCTCGTCTGTTTTACTTATTAATATTTTTTGTCTTTCGTTCATTTTGTTTTTGTGTTGTTGTTGCGCAAAAATTCACCGAAAATGGTATAATTTATTCGATCGTATTTGAGTAAGCATTTTAAGTCGGTGACAATCGAAAATAAGATTTTTTTTCTTTTCTTTTTTTTTTTTTTTTTTCAAAAAGGCAACTTTATCGAATCGACTGAAATTTTTCGTTCAATTTAAATAAATCACATGATTACTGTGCTATAATGCGTTTTGTATTATTGATAGCAGCAGTTCTCATGTAAAATTCATCATCATCATCATGAACGAATATCACGAGTGAGCGTTTATTGAAGTCGAAAGCAAAAGGAACGCATACACATAGCGAAAAAAGGGTAAAAAAATGAAATGTGAAAATCGGAGCGATTTAAATGAAATTTAATGAAATGGAAATCATTGGAATGGAATAGCAGCTGAACGACAACGCCGATGATGATAGTATGTACAACAATGAATAAACAATGTTGATGAAATTTCCTCAATACTCTCTCCGTTTTTGTTGTCATCGTCATCGGCGTTCAATTCAATTTTGAAAGGGACGTTCCATCGAATCACAATCATCATCATCATAATAAATTAACCAAAAAAAAAAAAAATCATAACAATATTCCGACCACAATTCATGCACATCCATACACAAATACAACAACGACAACATCACATCATTGGTATGGCTATAGGCAAATCTGCCGAATACACTCTCTCACACACATATATATGCACACATGCACATATATACGGAGAATGAGTGAGGCAACCAACCACTGAAAAGGGGCCCATAGACTTCTCTTCTGGTAAGAAGTTGGATTTTGGTTTTGCAAGAAAAATGGGAAAAATATTGTTGCTATGTATCGCATTTCATGTGGATTCGTTGGTATTGGTGATGCGCTGACACAATACGCACATAGCAAATGCCATATGAGTGCGACGTGTTCACATGTATACATATATACTATACGTAGTATAGAAAATCGCTGTTTGCGATTGTGTGGTGTGGAAAAAAGTATGTATGTGCGGCAAAGTGCTGCTGTTGCTGCCTCATTATGCAGCGGGTATGAAGTGTGCGCGCTCTCTTTCTCTCTCTCACCTTCTCCATGTAGTGTATATTGACAGTGTGTTGTAGCAACCATCGGCAGTAACAAAATAATCACATAACGTTTGTTGGCTTTATATTGGCTTTGGCTTTTGGCTATGCCTTGGCTTCGACTCAAATGGGAAAGAGAGAAAAAAACAACGACAGCTAAATTGGACATGTGTGCCGTCGTCGTCATCGTCGTCGTCGTCGTCGTTGTACTCACTTATACATCAAAGAAATCAAATTACTTTTGCTCCATCGATTCCAAGCAATGTATAATTTACACATTCGGCAACTTTTTTTTTCTCTTTCGTCAGTTCACCCGAACATATGAACTTTTTTTAGGCCAAAATGAACAGCAAAACACAGCAACGAAACGCTCAACCGATGTATCAATTTATTTAGAATTTTCTACCGTTCTCACCATCAATTACTTTGGTGAATTTACGTTTTTCTTCAAAAGGCGTCAGTTTCAAAGATTAATTACATTGTCAATGATTGCGAGCTCGAGAGGTGACGCGAATGGCGAACAATTTTGCGCTGAATGAACGGAACATTTTCAAAAGAAAAGAAAAGAAATGAAAGGAAATTACCACGATAGTGTTGACAGTTTTTGAATCAGGAGTTTCCTCCGGAATTAAAATAAATCTATTGAATGAAAGTTGAGTACGGGCAATGAATAGCAGCTATTTTTTTCATTTGAATGACACACAGGCCATTCGTTTCTCGTTGCGAGAGAGAGAGAGAGAGAGAGAGAGAGAGAGAGAGTGAGAGCGTGAAAATAAAGCTGCATCCGAAATGAATAGTTGGCGCTGTAATTTGTGATTGTTGGGTAAATTAAATGGAGGAAATCAAACGGTGAATATAAATGAATTAAAGTAATTATTAGCGGAGATATTTTTTTTGTAGAAAAGAAAACCGATGGAAGAAAAATTGGAGATATATAGAAAGATATATGCATATAGTATATTCTCTCACTGCCGCGATTCAGTTTGGAAACGATAGAAAAATACGCACACTCATACACACACACACAGCCAACTCAAAATCCCATTGAAGCGTATGGTTGGCAGTTAATAGCAGCCAATGTTACCAATACCAACACATGACGAATCGACAACGCACACTCACACCCAACACACCACATACATTGGCCTCTTCTTTTTCTTCTGCTGTGTCGTAGTTGTGTTTTTTTTCATGCTTGTTTGATATTCGTATGTGCGCGTTACTTTTTGATCGTTGTTTGCGTCCATTGATACCGAGGTCTTCGTATTCTTTGTCATCCGTTTTGAACATTGTACGCGGCTCTCAATTCAGAAATAATTCGAAAAAATCGAGAATAAATTGAAAGCACATGAATAAAAGTAATCGAATTCCGAATTGAATGTCGTTCGGTCACTTTCTTGCACGAATATTTGATATATCGACGTATAACGGAAATCATTTTGTCGATCGGCTTGTCGTTTCAATCATTTTTTTTTCTCTCCTTCTTCTGGTGATGGGATATTTCAGTAGAATTTACGGGCTTGATTCGAATTTTGCATATACATACCAAAACGGTTTTTATTTTTATGTATATAAATACATCACACACAAATAAGTATACATATATGATGCGCGTATATATAGAGAAATTCTAGAATGGCTCACACTTGAAACGGTCCGAAAATTTTTTTTATTCTCGTTTTTTTATTGTAAAATTGTTTGAGAGTGGAAAGCAGTTGTCGTAGAGAAATTGAAATTATAACATTTGAAGAAAAAAAAAAAACAACAACAACAACACACACCATTCGAAAGAATTGTGACGAAATGCGCAAAATATCGGTGATAATTTGCGTTTGTATTCTCTTCGGGGCTCCTGGACGCGGTCTCGTGCCGACTTTATCGTGCCAAACTTTACTATTGATGCATTCGAATTAACACTAATACAAAACACTGGACGATTTAAAATTTAAACGGCGATTTTTTTTCCCATAAACTTTTTTCTTTGTGATTTTCTTTTTCTTCTTTTAGGGAACAAAATGAAAACAGCGGACAGAGTGTTCGTGTTTTTTTTATAGCTTGGCTTAATTTAAACATACACTTAAATATTTAAACAGAGAAACTTGATTGAATTGTAATTATTATTTAAAAAAAAGAAAAAAAAAGTGGATTTTTGTGATAGATTAAAATATATGTGTTGCTAACAGCTCGGCCTCTATCTGATGACTATACGTGCTATGTTCGCCAGAGGTTTTCCATACTATGTTTGCGTATTTTTCGAGTTCGTCCGTCTCGTTTGGTTCGGTTCTCTGTGTGTGCGTGGCATGTGCTTGAAACGTAGTAGCGCGTTCACGGCAATATACACACCGCCAGGCCAAGCGAGGCTTGTGTGTTTGATTTTGCTGCTGCTGTTACTGCGACAGCAAATGGGAAAAATAACTCATGTTTCGTCTGTGTGTGCGTGCGTGTGTATTCGGTTCAAACACTTGGATGTCAGTTGGAATTTCTTATTGTTTGATTTCTGCATGTGTGTAAGAAGTAGCGACAAAAAAAACTTGGCCGAATCGAAACGACAATCGTATCGAAGTCGGTTCGGAACACGATTTCAATACTCTTACATATGGGGCCGCTGTTTTTACGCGATAGCGGCTATACAATGAAACCACTTCAATGTTCACACACTAATGCAAAATCCACACCAAAACATCCATACGGTGTTCATACAGTCGCTTTGCACAAATGCTGTGTAGTTACTCGAATTCAAATACGAATGCATAATTCTACAGGGCGCTTGCCGCACGAATGCGGCTTAAAGTCGATTACAGCCGACAATGTATGTGTATCACGTCTGTGAGTGTGTATGTGTATACACACGTGATGTGCCACAACGGTTCGGCCGACCAAAAGATGCGCTTGTATTTGCGCTTGAAGAGCAGCATGTGATCGTGGTTGAGCATTTACTGTGAATAATTCGCATCACACACACACCTATCGAAACGTATGAACAACTGAGCGAGACAAGAGTCGAAAATTGATACACACACAAAACAAGATCAACACACAGAGATAGATATAATAATTCATATTTGGTAGCTTAGCGTATACACACCACGGAGACGGAGAGAGAGAGAGTGAGTGAGTGAGATGGAGACCAAGAAAAAAAAAAGACGACGTGAACAAACATTCTGTTATAATACAAAACCAAGCGCAAACAAAATGCTCATTTTTATGCAAATTAAATGTTTCGAGTGTGATTTTGCTGTATTTTCCATGGCATTTGGCTTGATTTTTCTTTTCGGTACGGTGCCTTTAGCACAAACAAAGTATTCAACATTTTAAAAAACAATATACAAACCCAATGGCACTGATTTCCGAATCGGTAGTGTAATTTCGCTAGAAGGCTTCCCGTGGGTCAATACCATTTGGCCGAACGAAAAATCCGTTAGGAAATTAAATCATTTATAGTCTTCATTTGTGCCCTTTAATTACCCTTTTTTCATAGGTCTTTCATGAGCAAGTTGGTGCAAATGTGAAAAAAGAATATGTACACATATACATATTAAAAACGAACAGCCGAATTAAAAGCCCATTTTCCAAAACAACATTTCTTCGACGTAAATCGCATGCCGACGGAAAATTTATTCAACCATTTGTTCAGGATATAGAACTCAGTGTAATAAATTTGCCCATTTTTTATTCATTTTGTAAACTTTCTGGAGAAAGACACACACACCAGAGTCAGTACGGTGTTCGGTTGCTCGGTGCGTAGAAGAAAAATCAATTTCTTTTATGTTCCATGATTCCACTCGGTGTTGGCTGCCTCTTTTTTTTCTATATTCATTCTCATTCGCCGCTTTGTCTCCCTTTCTCCTCAATTCGCTCTCCGTTTCTCGCTCTTACATTTTGTTTGGTGTTAGATTCAAATACATGATAGTTGTTGACGTTCGCCTACACACACGCAACACAACCAGAAGAAAAGTATCTTGCTCAATTTGTAGCTTTTACACAGTTTATCGTTACCGAAAAGCGCATATAATCCAACAACGACGTCGACGACGACGACGGTGATGATGTTGATTCGATACGACAAAATGTTTGCTCGGAGCCGTTTTGCTCGAACGCGTCGTTCCTATCGCGTTTCTTTGAAATTTTTTCCCATGCACGGCACATAACACACGATACTCATCTTAAAAGGCGATTTACATTTTCTCGCTCTGAATCTGAACGCGCAATGCAAAACAAACTTCCTTTATTAACGTCAATGTTGACGAAAGAGACTCCAATTTCATGGGCATTGTTTTCAATCGCATTTTTTTCTTTCGATTGGATTTTAAACCACTCGATTATTGTAAACCCGAATATAAATTCCAACGGCCATATCTATTTTAGTAACGTTGAGTTTCTCCTATCTTGTGTCTCTTTCACTGACTAATTGACTTCAGCACAGCACTGAAACAGATGACAGCCGAATAAATTTATTTAATTTTCTATAATAAGAAAAAAAAGACAAGAACCAAAACAAATGGCACTTTCTTTTCAATGTTGTGCACCTCGCTAGCCGGTCTTTCCGTTGGACGATACAACGAAATCGTGAAATTTCGTCGAATTTTTGCCTCGATCATGAGATGAGCTGCATTGAGGCGAGCATTTGTTGTGCTTGCTACGTTTGTGGGCTGCACAGAAAAACGCATTGTGTCCTCATTCTCGTTCAGTTCAAAAGAAACATTGACTTCTTCACGCATGCACACAAACGCATGCCAAAGAGTTGAAATACACACAACATTGGCCATAAACTGCACATGCGGTGTGTGATATAATGCAATGCAATGCAATGGCCTCATCCAACGATATTTTGTACCTACACACGATATTTTGTAAACAACTTTACAGTCGTCGTCATCGTCGTCGTCATCTTGTTCTTGTTTTTGTTGCTGCTTTTTTTTCTTGTTTGCTTTACTCGCCGTTCCTTATCGCTTTTCGAATTGAATGTGTCTCACGTTTCATGATACATTCGGGTGATGTTGAACTGAGACACATGACTACATCACCGATTATTTTGTCTGTGTACACAGATTTCGCACGCGAAAAAGGCTATCTGCTGTTGCTGCTTCGCTTCTTCGTGTATTTTCGTACAATCTTCATTCGATTGTATTATATGTATTATTCGATGCATGAAAATGTAAACAATGGTCAAAACAGAATGGACGAACGAGCGAAAGCAAAGCGTAAAGGGAATTCATCCAAGAATAAACTGGATTTATTCCGAATGCGTTCGTTGTTGATGCATTCGCATTGTTCTAATTTGTTTTTTTTCTTCTTCGTCTGTTGTTTGCTTTTTTTTGATAGGCCACAGTCAATTTATGGGTCTCTTTCTCTTTTCTTTTCATAAATCCAAAATTTATCTTTATAGTATTGCAATGCAATGCAATGCAACGCAACGTATAGTAACATAGTAAACGAGAGATAGTGACTGGCTTCACAGAAACAAAACAAAGCGAATGAAACCAACAGAATTATAAACAAAACAAAAATAAAATTGCTTTCGCTGAAACTATTTACGCTTTTACTCACAGTAAACATGATACGTTTATTTGTTTCACTTCAAATAATAGCCAGTAGCAGTGGCTGGTGATGGGTGCAAGAGAAATTGGTTGAAATTTGATAATTTTTGTGGTAAATTTATCCGAAAATAAACAGATTTTCGCATTATAATATTATATCCAGTCCACAGAATCATGTTGAACAAATCACAAATATACAGACGGAGAGCGTGGAAAAAGTATAAATATTGTTCATTTTGAATTCGATAAAAATGCGTTGATCGCATGTTGAATGTGTGTGCGTGTGTGTGTACGGTGTACGCGCGCGTTTGAGTTGATTTTGTTAGCGGATTTGAGAGTGTATTTTTTTATCGGCTTAACACAGGCCATTCTACATGTGTGTTTACAACTTACGATACACTGAGTAAGTCTGTTGCACTACAGAGCGTGTTTGTTGCTGCTGTTGGTGCTGTTGTTGATGTCTTCTTCTTTTTCTTCTCTTTTTTAATCGTTTAGCACGATGAACGAACTAAAACGTAATGTGTTCGCCGAGAATCGTTTTCATTTGGTTTCATGCGCTCACATATATGTGCGAACAAGGGTGTGGTATGCAGTAAGTAAAAGAGCACCAACACCGCATTCAAAACATACGAATATCATGTGCGAGTGAATAATTTTCGATATGTTGGTCGTTCGGTACATCGTTATTTGCTTCGTATAACAAATATTACTGTTTGCTCGTCTCTCTCGCTCTCGCTCTATATATCCATCTATCTCGTTCTTTCGCTCTCTTCATTATTTTCCGTCTTCTTCTTTTTTTTTTTCGTTTCGTTTGTCTCTTTGCCGTACAAAATATACACACATTTCTCCGTGTGGCTGTGCCGATATTTTTCGTTCAACTGAACGACAAACCAACAAACAAATGAAAAAAAAGAAACGCCAACGAATTGCTAGTCGAATAATCGACGAAAAATGGTGCACATAATACATGGAAAATCATCGATTTCAGTGTTTATTTCCGATAGGTTTGGCGCAAAGTGGCCCTTCTTTCACGAATTATGATTTCAACGGCTAATGGTGTTCGTTGAAGTTTGTGATGTCTTTTCGGTTGATGTGCTTTAGTGAGTCATCATGCTTGTATAATGTACACAATCTTGCACACCAACATATTCGCCTCGATCGCACCAAAGCGATATATGAAGAAGAAAAAACCTAAGTGGAATCACTTAATAAGCAAAACAAAAGCAAAGCAAAGCAATTCGATTTTCGATTTGGAAAATTACTAGCAACTCCAAAGCACGGGACTGTCATTTACATACGACCTAATACAAACATACACAAACACACGCAGACATCGTTAGAACCGAAATACTTATTCTTTGCAGAACAAAAACAACAAGAACAGAGAGTAAATGGAAAAAAAAACTACGGAATGCCAACGATACTCCTGTTTCGGCTCATTTGAGTTCATCTAATTACATTTTTACAGTCGGTTTGGAACAACATGTGTCTGAATCATTGATTCTCACGTCGTTCGGCCGTAAATCCTCAGAAAAGTCACTCGAAAAGTGGCTCCTAATCTACTAACTTCAGCATCTATGTTTTGATATACAACTGTTAGACAGGGAAATGGAATTTAAACGGCTATTTACAGTCGAAATGAACGTAGAAAAAGAAGAAGAAGAAGTAAAGAAGTGGCCAACAAAAGGAATAATGACTGTAATTGAGTCACC